ACTTTAAACGGTTCGGACCACTTAGACTTGAGTTTCCGAGGGAACAATTTGAGTCTATAATTGAATAACAGCACTTGGTCCCTTTCTTTGAACTCTCTCTTGTGTATCTTCTTGTCATGAAGTGCCTTGGTCTTCTCTTTGTATATCTTAGAGCTCTCAAAAGCGTCTAACCGAATCTCCTCAAGTTCATGAAGCTGTAGAACCCTTTTCTCTTGAGCAGTCTTGATATCAAAGTTCAATAACTTCACTGCCTTCAAGGCTTTGTATTCCAACTCAACTGGTAGGTGACAGCTCTTTCCATACAAAAAGTTAAACGGTGAGGTACCTATGGGAGTTTTGTAAGCAGTTCTGTAAGCCCAAAGAGCATCATCGAGTTTCTTGCTCCAGTCTTTTCTTGAGTTGTTCACAGTCCTCTCTAGGATCACCTTGATTTGCCTATTTGAGACCTCCACTTGACCGCTTGTCTGAGGGTGGTAAGGACTCGCCACCTTGTGCTTGACACCGTGATTCTTAAAAAGCCTTCCAGAGTCTTGTTAATAAAGTGGCTGCCCCCATCGCTTATTACAACTCTAGGCACACCAAACCATGGGAAAATGACGCTTTTGAAAAGCTTACAAACCACCTTTGAATCGTTTGTGGGGCTTGCAATTGCTTCAACCCATTTAGAGACATAGTCTACGGCCACCAAAATGTATTGGTTACCATGTGAAGAGACAAACGGCCCCATAAAGTCTATTCCCCAACAATCAAAGACCTCCACTTCAAAGATCGGATTCTGAGGCATCTCACTTCTCTTGGAGATATTACCATGCTTTTGACATGATTCACAGCTTGAGACAACAACTAGGGCATCTTTGAACATCGTTGGCCACCAAAAACCGCATTGTAACACGTTAGCAACCGTCTTGAAAGCTCCCAAGTGCCCACCATAAGCAGAACCGTGGCTGTAACACCCCCGATTCGTACTACGACTAGGACGAACCCAGAGTGTCACAAGATCATAATAGAGACAGTTCGACCAAAGCAGCCCATACTACTTAGGTTAAACCGTTTCTAAAATCACGCCTCTCGACCAAGACCTAAGGCTTTTCAACCCGTATCTTAGTCTTGAGTTGTTTCAGCTAGGACTAGCTTATATCACTAACACAAGCCGAGTTTTATTTTTAAAACATACTTTATATTATTAAACTTGAAAATATTGTCTTACAAAACGATTATAACGAGACGGCCATGGCCTAGTGCCCAAAAGATACTATGTACATACTTGAAACCTTATTTTGCAAAAGCCAAGCCAAAACTACTCCGGCCTCCTACCGTTCCGTCTTTCCCGAGCTGTTCCCAACTACTGGTCACCTGCAAAACAAATGAGTCATGAGTATTCTAGCAATACTCAGTGAGCTCCGGGGGTACTAAACACACATTAGTTCTCATTCCCCACACAATCAATCATCATAATGCATCATCGTATGCACAAGCAGAAGCAATCTAAGACATAAGTCCTTATATGTCAAACAATCTCATTTTCTAGTGCGAGGCCTCTAAATGCATCGACCACTCTCCTAATTGCAGCGATCCAGCAAATCACCACGTAGGATCATCTTGGCAACCTCGCACCGATCTATTGACATACCGTCACATAGCATCGGACCGCCGTACTGGCAGCACTCGGCCAAGGGAGCTACCCTTCGACCCTCTAAGTCTTCCTACCTCCGTGGCCTTCTCCACGAAGATAAGGTATGTGGACGTGCCGACTGCATCTACTCTAAGAACGTATAAATCCTACCTTGATTTATACTTCCTAGATGCATCACCAAATAACACACAAACAATTAAATATGACATGCAAGAGGTCCCTTTACTTGCATTCATCATTTAATTTACCAAGTATCATTTCTAGCCGGTTTTCCTTAAAACCATAGAAAATAATACGTCAAACCTTTCACCGAGCACATCTTCAGACCAGAATAACACCGTCCTGGTTATTCTTCCGACCAGATCTTCATGTTAGCCTATTAACATACACAAAACCGGAACTCACCCTTAACGCAGGTCCAGCACCGATCTTAACCCCTCTTGTTCCTAACTCCGGTATTCCTCTAGATCTAAAACCATATAGATCTAATGAATAACTAGCCTAGGACATGATTAAAACAGAAATGGTTTACTCTACGGCTTACCGACCGTTCGCTAAGCTAGCACCGCGCGTCCACTTCCCGTAAGTAGAATCCTATCGCCAAATACCCAAACTCACTCCTTTCTCTCACTATTTTCTCTCTCAAAAATTCCCAGATTTTGAGACTAATTTTCCTGAGCTTATGGGAGGGGTATTTATAGGTTTCAGGGAGGTTCTGCATGTTTGTCACATGCTAAACACTTGTCAAGAACTCTTAAACCTTAGTCATCAGACCTAACACTAATCACCCTTAATTCTGCGCCAAATGTGTGGACCAGAACCAGCCACATCTGTTCTTATCCGCACATAACCCCCATCAGATTTCCGCATTTTTAAAATGATCTGACTCGCTCATGCTTCCTCGGCCAGTACCTGATTTCTCGGCGGAAATCTAATTCTCTCGGCAGAATTTTTATTTCCCTCGACTAAATCCTTTCTTGCTCGACCAAAGTTGCTTCTCTCGGCAGAATTAACTCTCTCGGCCTTTACTGAAATTTTCCTGGTCCATCCCCGACTCAGCACTTAACCACGGTCGCTTGTCCGTGCTTACTCAATGACCGGGTTGTTACAGTGGCACTCTTGTAACACAGGCTGTAGTTCTTCTTCAGCTAAGCACCTTCTATAAAGATGGTCTTTGTTGAGCACATATAAATATGGCTCATCCCAGTGATATCTCCTCACATCTTTAAAGTACTTTTTCCTCTGATATGAATCCAATTCAGGTGGCTCTAACCGGCATGAGAGGTAGTTAGCAAGATCAGCAAACCATGGGAGACTCCTCTCTTTGATTGTATTGGCCTCTTCAACCTCCAAGTAAGACCTGATCACCATTAGATGCTCCTCAGGTAAAGAATCGTCTAGAGGGACTTTTAAGTCCACCTTTATCCGTGAGAGATGGTCCACAGCTCCATTCTCAATGCCCTTCTTGTCTTGCACCTCCAGGTCAAATTCTTGTAAGAGTAGAACCCATCTCAAGAGTCTCGGCTTAGCATCCTTCTTAGTTATTAGATACCTCAAAGCCGCATGATATGTGTACACAACAACCTTTAAATTCACAAGATAACTCCTGAACTTATCAAATGCAAACACAATGGCCAGTATCTCCTTCTCGGTTGTTGAATATTTCTCTTGAGCCGATTCTAAGGTGCGGCTTGTGTAATAGATCATGTACAGCTTCTTGTCTTTCTTTTGGCCTAAAACTGCTCCCACGGCATAATCAGATGCATCTGTCATCACCTCAAAGGGAAGGGTCCAATTGGGTGCCTGAACTATTGGTGCACTAACAAGGGCCTCTTTGATCTTTAGAAATGCCTCCATGCACTCCTCATCGAACAATAACTCAACCTCCTTGCAAAGCAGCGTTGTTAGTGGTCGAGCTATCTTAGAAAAGTCTTTGATAAACCTTCTATAGAAGCCGACATGCCCCAAAAAGCTCCTTATCCCTTTAACCGAGACCTTATGACCAAGCACTTCTCCCAGTTCAAAAAACCAGCCTATTTTCCCACTTCTCACACCTTTTCAAGACCTGTGACAAATTAGCAAGACAATCCGAGAAGGAGGAACCATAGACAGAAAAATCATCCATAAAGACCTCCACCTTCTCTTCAATAAGGTCAGAAATATGTGCATCATGCACCTTTGAAAGGTTAACTCATCCTTCTCATTCTTTACCACTGTGACACCACCTTTCATGGGCACCACATGGACAGGAGATACCCATCTTGAGTCAGAGATTGGGTATATAATCCCTGCCTCAAGAAGCTTGAGTATCTCCTTCTTAACCACCTCCTTAAGGTTCGGGTTAAGACGTCTTTGATGCTCAATAGAAGACATAGATTCGTCTTCTAGGTGGATCCTGTGGGTGCAAATGTCAGGAGAGATGCCCCTAATATCGGCTAAAGAATAACCTATAGCTCTCCTGAACTTTGTAAGCTCACTAAGCAATGCACGTTCTTCATGAGCTAGCAGGTTATCGTTTATGATTACTAGATATGAAGAGTTTGAGCCAAGAAAAGCATATAACAGCCATGTTGGTGGAGGTTTGAGCTACACATGGGGTGCTTTTGTCTCGTCCCAATCAGCATCAAAGCTGTATTGCTCTTTGACAGCTCCCTCGGCATTGGTTCGCTCTTGGCTTGTGATGCCGCGTCCATGCAACCCCAAGGTGTCTCCCCTCTTGTATTGGACCCTCTGATGTCCAAAACCTCGATACCACTCTGCCTGAGCTCCAAAAATCTCGTCTCAGCTTCAAGTTCCCTCAGTTGATCCAAGAAACGCTTGTAAACCTCGCTCTCTTCATTCAAGTACCCATGCTTTCCCTTTTCTTTTGTTAAAACCACTTGGAGAGGGTCCTCTGCATTTAATTCCTCAAGGAGCTCATCAGCTAGCTCCTCCATGGTTTTGATGTAAAAGACCTGACCTCCTATAGTCGGTTCCTTCATCATTTCTTTCACATCGAACTTCATGGTTTCAAACCTAATGTGCAGCTCGATCATGCCTCCTCTTACGTCTATGATCGCTCCAATCTCTAAGACTATAAACTCTACGAGGATCTCAATCTCACCAATTCTCAAGGGCAAGTCCTCAAGTAAACCGATTGGTAACCTCACTGATCGATCTGCAAGAAAAAGAGATATTCTTGCTGGTTTGTAGCCCTTAAACCCCAGCCTTTTAGCAACTGAATAAGGCATAAAGCTCACAGCAGCTCCCAAGTCACACAAATAACTTGAAAACTTCAAAGGACCGATCGCACATGGTAAGGTGAAGCTACCAGGTCTGATCTCCTCTGAATAATGGCGCTGCTCTCATGACTCAAGATGACCATCCCTTAAAGCTCCTTAGTCTTGTTAAGTATTGCGTCTTTTAGAAACTTTCCAAGCTGAGGTATAGCTAGAAAAGCATCTAGGATCGGCAATGTCATCTGAGTATTCTCTAAGTGCTTCTCAAATACTGCTTTTGCCCTATCTAAGATTTGTTTCTTGAATCGCCCTGGAAAAGGAATCTTAGGCTGATAAGGAGGTGGTGGAACATAAGGCTTTTCAAGCTCAGGTGCCTTCTCCACCTCTTTAGCCTTGTCTTTAACCGGTTCTTCCTTTGAAACGACATCCTCTTGCTCATCTCTTGAGGCTGCCTCCCCACCGATCTGCTCATTGTCCTCGATGAGCTTTTGCTTAGGATCAGGCCCTTGTAGTTCTTTGCCACTTCTCAAAGTGATTGCATTAACATGTTCTTTGGGATTTGGTTCCGGCTTTCCAGGTAAAGCTTGTCCTCTTGATGATGTGGAAGCTTGATTCTGCATAAGCTCGCTGATATCTTGTTTCATGGACGCATACTGACTCTCGACCCTTTGTTGACCCTGTAGAAACTGCTGTAGAAGCCCACACATATCTGGCCCCATCTGATTCTGAACCGGCGCCTGCTGCTGCTGCTGATGACCCATCAGCTGTGGACTGAACCCTGGTGGAAACTTATGTTGCTGTGGTTGGCTGTTGTAGTTACTGCCCTGAGCCGATTGCTGCTGTTGTCCATAGATCTGTTGTTGCCCACTAAACTGCTGCTTATGCTGAAAAGAACTTTGAAACTGAGGCTTAGGAGCATAGCTTTGTTGGTTTTGCTGAGAAGGGTACACCTGATCTTGGGGATTGGCTACATTGGGGTTGTGGTATTAGAGATTTGGGTTTGTTCGATAGTTGTTAAACCTCTGATATCTTTTTTGATTCCCAATATAGTTGATCTCTTTTTGTGTGAGACCATCCTCATTCACATAGTCAAAACTCGCCTACAAAGTGTATTGGCTTTTGTGTAGCCACAAGTACTTTGTCTAGTTTGTTTTGAAGCTCCCTGATATCTTTTTCGATACGCAGTTCTTTAGTAGATCCCTCTTTTCGGTTAGCTCGGTCGAAATCTTCACCATATGTATCATTGGACATTGCAAGATTCTCCACTAGCTCCGTTGCGGCATTGATCTCCTTCCCAAGAAAGTTCCCATTAGATGTTGTATCAAGTTGGTTCCTTATCTTTGGGAGAGTACTTCGGTATAGAGTACTAAGAAGAGATGCCTCTGAGAAACCGTGGTGAGGACACTAATTAGTGTGGCTTTTAAACCGTTCCCAAGCCTCTCCAAAACTTTCATTTGTGTGTTGTGTGAAGCTTGAGATTTGGTTTCTGAGCTTGGCCGCCCTGGAAGTAGAGAATAACTTGGAGAGAAATGCAAGCTTGCACTTCTCCCAGGTCTCTATTGTTCCCCTAGGAAGATTCATCTCCCATTGATGTGCTTTATCACCTAAGCTGAAGGGAAACAACCGTAGTTTAAAGCTGTCTTCTGATACCCCGTTTATCTTGGTGAGGTCATAAACGCGATCAAATTGATCCAAGTGCTCCAAAGGATCCTCCATTGGTAGGCCGTGAAACTTGGAGTTTTGCACCATATCGAGCAAGGAGGCTTTAACTTCAAAGTTGTTGTTTTGTACCGGTGGTGCTTGGATCCGTGCTTTATACTGATGTGCATTAGCTCGGTCGTTCTCACCAACAAAGACTAGTGGAGGTTGCCTTTGAGGTTGCGGCTGCGGCTGAGGAATGTTTTTAGCCTGTTGCTCATTGCGATTGGCTTGGTACTGGTTTAGCTGAGCCTGTCTTTCATTACGCTGAGCCATGTTTTGGTCGACATAGGCCTGTTGTTCATTCCTCTCGGCCTGCGCTTGATTTGGATGAGCCTGGTGCTCGGCTTCTTGAGCCTGTTGCTCTATCCTCTCCTGATCAGCCATACACAACCGATCTTGATTCACAGCACTCTCTCTAGCTCTTCTCTCAAGCAAGTTAATGTTGTTGTTGTAAGGCTGACGCGGCTATGTGCTTCTATAGCGAGTTCGCATGTACCTGATCACTCAAACACAGAACGTGGAAACGATCAGTAATAACAAGAAAATAAAGGCTTGATCTCAAGAACAAGCAAAAACTAATGCTATCCACAAATTGGCAACGGCGCCAATTAATAACTAAGACTTTTTAGGTCTTGTGCAAGGGTTATCAATCCCCTTTCATTGTAGTAATTAAGAGGTATCAATCCATGCTTGTGGTAGACACTAGTTTATGATGCTTATATCTTAAGTCAAGCGAAATCAAGAAATGGGTTTTGTTAGATAGACTACTTAAAGTGCAAGCAAGAATAGAAAGGAACAAAAAAAAACAAGAGATTAGAACTAAGCAAATATGCAAATAAAGAAACTGATACGCAAGACAAATAAGCGGTTGATGTATGAATGATGAAGTAGAGGTTTTAGACAGGATAAAGGACTCGGTGCTTCTATACTAAACTAGTTAGTTGATGAACCAAAATGATCAAGCAACTTCATTTAACATGAACTCAAAGACAAGATGATAATCTTCTCATGAAGGTATTAAACCTCTATGCTAATCCTCTTTCATACCAAAATCCCTTTTGAGAAGCATGAATCAACAAGCATTGAAAATCAGTTCAATAAGTCATTTAAGAGAAGCAAACTATCATTATCATGATGAAAGACTCTTAAACCTCTAATTAAACCTGGTTCAGGTATTTCAGCGAACACTTCTCAGGCGTGCAATACCTCAGATCTAGACCACATGTGATGTTCATGGATCCAGCATAGAGATCGGTTTAGTAGAGAATGAATAATGCAGATCTATAACATAAACTCGCTAATCTTGCATTTCAGCACCCTAATCTACCTATCTAAAACCTCATAATGAGACTACTCACTAATCATGAAGAGCACACTTAATCTTTTGCAAGAAGTGATGCTAAACATGATTAGAAGCTTTGATGATGATGAAAAGAAATGAATGAGGACAAGATCTTTACGTAAAAACGAGATATCTGATTAAAGAAGCAAGTTTTCATAAAATAGGCAAGTTCTCTAAAATAAGTAGGGTTTTAGTCCTAAAACCTATATATAGTTAAACTAAGTGATGCCGGTCAGCCCGGAACAAACCGGATACTGAACCGGTCTTTTTGGGTCGTTGGGTGAGCACCCCGGTGTGTGAGAGAGTGAAGCTGAGGTGTAGACATTGAGGGGTGCACGTGAGCAAAGATTGAAATGAAGATCTCATGAAGAACTCACCAAGAACATGCATGAACCCTTGTCTTTGATTCATTCTCACGTGCACTCGTTAGATCAGCTTTGTTCTTGAATCTGGGCTCATGACAAGGGACCTCGGCATAGCCATGCTGAGGAGCTTGGTAGTTGAGTCATCAAGGGAGATGAGGTCCGACATGCAATGACGAGGTCTTGAGGCCGAGGTCTAGTTCCAACACTCAGTCATTTTCAGCTTGTCTTCTCAGCATGTGTGCCTCGGTCTTGATACACTGAGGGGTTAGCACGAGGTCTGGACCAAAAATCTTCAGGAAATAGTCCTTGGCTTAGGCAATGTCGAGGGAGCGACACCGAGGCTTGTATAAACACTTAGCACGTATCGCAGCTCTTGAAGCTTGTACCAACCCGCTTGTCTCCCGATAAAACCAACTTTTAGCACATGACTCCAAATGACTTGAAACCAGTTTCATGAGAAAGGTCACTCATTCAGCTCAAACTTTGGTGAAGAAATCATCGGCGCTTGGGAAGTGGAATGCTCCCCGGATTGCTCATCTTTGCATCACATCGAAACGGTAAGAAAACAACTCCTGGATCCGTATTCACTACGGAGACGATATCTTTCAGACCACAGCTCCAAATCGGGTGATCTCAAGTGTTTTGGGGATAAAACCCAAGGAACTTGAATATTCATGAAGGCCCCGACAACTGAATCGAACTGGAAAGGCATCGTCCCACGTAATCTTTGAAGCTCATAGGATCAGCTTTATTTGCAGTGTGTCTCCCGGTGGCAATATCTCTCTGTTCACTTCTCCGAATTTAGCAACTCCAACTGTTATGGAATCTTGAATCGATTATCTCTAACTTTGATGAAGACCCCATTAACTGATTCGGACCAGAAGCTTCCCCGGATTTGCAATCTTTGATGCATGCAGGTGCGAATAGGTTTTAGCCGAGAAATGCTTCCCGCGGTAAGGAAAATATCCGAGAAACATATACCGCGGTAAGCTTTTTAGCCGATAAAAATCTCCTGTCTCGGCATAAAACTTCACCCGATAGCGTTTTTACACGGTAATGACTTTTGGGCGACAGAAATCACCTGATAGCATTTTTAGCCGATAAACTTATCCAGCCAGTACATGCTTTTGCTGAGAAATTCCTTTATGCCGTTTTCACCATTTTAAACCCATTTCTTCACCGTTTCAACTCCTGATCACACCTCTTGAACTCCAAACAACCTCCAAAACACCTGATAAAGACTCCAAACCATGAAAAGACACATTGAGACCTAATGTACACCCTATGGTCTAAATCAATGCCTAAGGACCTAAAATACACGAGCTAACACATGATTTGGACTCTAAAATGCGGCCTAAATGATGTAAATTATGGACATATTAGTCATTTAGCCGTTTTATGCGATTTTTAGACAGGATTCTTCACTTCTGAGTTCGTCAATAGAGAAGCTTTCTTTCATCTCTTTTCTTTACTGTTTTTGATTACTTTCATTAAAACCAATGATGATGTCAACCTCAGCCATGGCTGAGTAGATCCCGAGTTGGGTATAGGGTTAGATGTAGGATTAAGACGTCTAGGTTTTTAGATATGGGATTTTAACTATGTTCTCTGTTTATTCTCATCGTTAATGCATGTATGCTTGATTTATCACCTCGTATCTGATCTAGCTAGTTAGTGTTGCGAAAGTTTTCATTAAGTATTCGACCTATAATGAAACAGGCGATTTTTCCGTAGGAGTGAAAACCTACCTGCGGCGAAATCGTGAGTACTGACGAGTCCTGTGCAGCTCTTGCGTTTTCTCCCTTCCAGGGCCGGAGTGGAAACCTACTGGTCAGGGTTGCGAGAAACAGTTGATTATGATCACGACGGTGACGTAGTCATACCGTCGAAATCTAGCTCTAGAACCCAAATATTTTGATATCCGTCAATCCCAATCTAAAATCCCTAGTATTGAAACCGATTATGATCCCTGTAGAGTTCCCGAAAGTCCTGCGTTTTTAATCACTGTTTACAAACCAATCGATATTTACTTGGTTTCTTCGATCTGCCTTTTTATTTGCTTTAGTTCAACTTTTTACTTGTTTTATTTGCTTCCATTCGATCTTCTACTTGCTATCTAGGATAGATTCATTTGCTTTCTTTAGCTCTAGTTTAATCCGTGACAAACAAAAACCCCTTTAAAACCGATTTAGTCTAGACATAAACTTAGAAACCGTGGAAAAATACTAGGCACACAAATCCCTGTGGATTTGATCCCTAAGTACTATAACTGATGAGCTGTGCACTTGCGGCTTTCATTTATTTTTATTAAGGATAAAACTTGTTCCCTTACCTCATAACACATCAGGGTTCCGATCCAGGTGGTTGGAATCACGCCTGAATGCTGATTCACATGCGCAGGGAGCTTCACACAGGTTGTGAAACCTTCGTTCGTGATTAGGGTTTCTTCTTGGATCCATGCTTCAAGGATTCTGAATCTAGGGCAAACAGAAGAAAGAATAAGCAGAAAAAAAAAGTTAGGGTGTTTATGAGTTTGGTTTACTTCCTATGGTATATTAGCAGAGACTCGAGATATAAATAGTCTTCTGATATAAGAATCGGTGGTGACTCTTATGATGCTAATAGAAAGGCGGTTGCCCTCTCCTTTGGTCAGATGATGGTTGATGGTGGAGTGATCTGACACGCAAGCGGTCGCCCTCTCGTGTGGGATCGGTTTGGTGGAGTGCTGGCGGAACGAATGTACGGCATAGAGGGATGGTGAGTCTCTGATACAGTACAATGCTCAAACTTATGTGAGTCTCACACACAAGAATGAACAAACACTCAAGAACACAAGGAATCTCACACAAGTGTTAAAGAGAGATAAAGCACAAATCTTAGAGGGGAAACACAAGTTTCATTTCAATTCATTTTCAAGTCTGTCCATTACAAATGAAATGACTGAGCTTATAAAGAAGTCTCACACGATTTTACAAAAAAAAAGAAAAATTCAAATAATTTACATAAATTAGAAATCAATCAAAGGTTTGATTGATATGACCATTAAAGCTTGATTTTTGGCCAAACAAGGAAAACGTGAGGTTCCTTGTATATGGACAGTTTCTGGATGATTCCATGGCTTTTTAGTCTTCTAATAACTCTCTTGCTTTGCACCAAATCAGCAGATAGTCGTTGGTCAATGTTGTTTAATGCTTTTGGTGCCAAATATGGAAGGTCTTCGTGTATGGGTGAGAGAGATTGAATCCGCCTGATCCAATGCTTGTTGGTGCACGTGATAAGATCATTAGGAGCCTCTAGATGTATTTTAAACACTCCTGGACGCCAGAGATACGTTGGAAGTCTCCCAAACTCGGAAGGTTCCAAATAAGGCAAGTCGGGAATGGCTTGGTTTAGAAATTGAATAACTTTCCAACCAAAACTGATCTCGGTATGATTCCAACTCTCCTGGATTATCTGATGAACCAAGATTCTAGAACAAGTCGGTTTGAAGCTTAATTCCTCCTGGTCTGGTCGGAAACCTCTAATTAAAACACGCATGTCCAAATCGGGTAAGTTGGAGATCACCCGATTTGTAAGTTGAATAACTCCTTTGTTTGAACTCTGATTCGGCTGATTCAACTTCGTGGCGTCTTCTAGGTGAGCTGAGAATGATTTCCAATCTCATGCTCTGAATCTTC